ATATATATATATATATATATGACAAAAACTGAACAAAATACAAAATAACAACAAACACCTAAATATTGTTAAATATGTTTTGTTTACTAGTGTGCCTTACTATGTTATTAAAGGTATTCATCGTAAAAGATTGCTAATAATCACATTTCTTTGTCTCTGTTCTCACAGGTGGCTTTAGACAGTAGCATTCCTATTAAATTTAAAGTTCAGGCCCTGGTCTACCCCGCGCTTCAGGCCCTGGACTTCAACACCCCCTCGTACCAGCAGAACGCCAACATGCCCATCCTAGACAGACCAATGGTGGCCCGCTTTTGGCTGGAGTACCTAAACGGCGAGCAGAAACTTGTTCCTGCTTTGCTGGCAAACAACCGCACAGCTCTGGATCAGGGTCAGGAGATAGCAGCGGCCAAAGCCAAGACTGTCTGGACCAAGCTTCTTCCGGTGGCCTTCCAGAAGAGCTATAAACCTATGTTTCCGCTTCAAGGTGACTCAAAGCTGCTGGAGAAGCTGCCAGGCCTGCTGGATGTGAGAGCGGCGCCTCTACTAGCTGAAACAAAAGTGCTGAAGGCCGTGCCGCCCACTTACATCATGACCTGTGAGCATGACGTGCTGAGAGACGACGGACTCATGTACGCCACGCGACTGGAGGAGGCCGGAGTGGACGTCACTGTTGATCACTATGAAGATGGTTTCCATGGATGCCTCAGTTTCGCTTTTGGACCCTTTCGGTTTTCTGTTGGAAGACGAAGTCTTGGGAACTACATCCATTGGCTGAAAGAGAACCTCTAAAGACTCATATAGGCTGGGTTTATGTTAAATATATTTTAATTTTAAATTAGATTTTTAAATTTAACATACAGTCCAATATGAAAAGGCTTCAAAGTTATTGCTACAAAATCTGAACAAACATGCTGTTTTAATACAGGGAATTTATGATAAAATTTTATTTAAAGCTGCAGTCCGTAACTTTTTTTGTGTTCAAAATTTATATAATAAGCGAGTACACCATGAATCCATTTTCCAAACCGTGTTTTTGGCTTGTCCTGAATCACTACGGTACACCTATAATAAGTGTTTATATTCTGACTATTTAGACTGGTTCGGGTAGGCACCGCTGTGGAGTAGCCCAGTGCCTGCGTGATTCGCCATAGACATAAACAGAGAGAAGTAGCTCCGGCTACAATGTTCTTCCGC